CCCCAAACCCCAAACCCCAAAACCCCAAAACCCCAAAACCCCAAAACCCCTCTATACTAAAATAAGGAATCTACAATCTTTTGATAAAAATTTAAAATTTCAAAATGGAATCAGATCCCGCAATTGATTACTCATTCAATCCCTCTGAGTTAATACAATCATCTGTTCACAATCTGAGAGAAGTAAAACCGGCTGCAGTTATGAGAGGTATTAGATTTTCCCTTTAAATTTTTAGAACATGAAAATTCTGTTGATTGTATTGATGCAAACCCAAAAAATTAAAATGAATTTGTGACAGGATCTCATGACAAAACTATAAAATTGTGGGATCTAAATAAGCTTTAATCCTCTAAAACTCTAACTGGTCATAAAGAAGGTGTTTGGTGCATTAAATACAATAAGGATGGCACTCAGTTACTTAGTGCTTCTCCAGAGGGAATAGCTAAACTTTGGGATCCTAAAACCGGAAAATCAACTGCAGACCTTAAGGGTCATACTAAGAGAGTAAAATATATCTTTGATAATGTTATTAGGTATTTTGGGCAACTTACAATCCATCAAGCACAATGATTGCTACTTGTGGAAGTGATAGACTTGTATTATTGTGGGACCTTAAAAAGCTCTCTGCTCCAATAGCCCAAAATAATCGTATATTATTGCAATTATAATCTTTGTGTTTCAGAAAACGATTCCGTAGTATTGAGCTGTGACTTTTTCCAGGATGACAAGTATATTGTGACCACTAATTTGGAGGGAGACGTCAACGTTATCAGTCAATAAGATAACATGAATATTATTAAGCATGAAACAATCGAGGGACATCTTAAAACCAACACAGCTTTTTGCTGTACTACTATTAAAAACTCAGAGTCTGAAAGTGGCATCTTCTTAGTGGGAGCAGAAAACAAAAAAGTTACCAAGTTCAGATTTGATCCAAGAGATTATGAAGTCGAGAAAGTTGGTCAGTTTGTTGGACATTCTAACTCTATCAGAAATGTTCAAGTATCAAACAATATGTAGCATCTTTTATCTTGCTGTGAAGATCACTCCCTGAGAATCTGGGACTATCAAACATATGAGCCTAAAATAATCTTGTCTGGCCATAGGGATAATGTTTCAGGAGGAGCTTTCATTAATGAAAACACAATAGTAAGCAGCTCATGGGATCTTAGAGTAATGGTATGGAAAATCTGAGTTATTGAGTAAATATTAAAGTTAATTTATTAAAATACGGAGATAAGTAATTTCAGAGTAAAAATTAGAGAGATTAAAGTTATGAGTTGAAATCTCATATCGAGAAGTAAAGAGGCTGAAGTATTTATTTACGTTCGCTTTCTTTTCAATTTTATTCATCTTTTTCCTGTTTTCATGTACTCTATAGAAATAGGCTGATTTCCCATTGGCGTTTAGTCAAGTTCATTTACAGCTATCTCAGCATCATTTGCAGTTTCAAACTCTACAAATCCTGCTCCTTTATGTCTGCCCTTTTCGTCCTTTAACAAACTGAATTTGACAACTTATAGGTTGTAGTCGTCAAATAATGCACTGATATCTTCTTCTTTTACTGAGTAATGAATATTTCCGATATAAAGCTTTCTGCCTTCATTTCCTGGAGGCTGATTAGAATTGCCTCCTGTGACTTGTGATCTGTTCTACTAAAAGTTTTATTTTATAGATTGCTGCTAAGGAGGCTTAGTTTGAATTTTAACATCAAAGTCATTGAGATTTTGGGAATTTTTGTCAAAGTTGTCTTGCTTGGAGTTAGATTTATCATCCCAATCATTAGCTACATTACTACTCTTCCTACTTCCCATATAACTTCTAGAACCCCCTTAAGTTCTCATTCCATGTGATTAAGGACCGAAATGTGATCCAGAAGGTTGTCTAGAGTGATAACCACCTCTTCCTCCCCCTTAAGGTCTTTAAAATCCTTGGCCACCTCCGTATCCATTATCATTTGGTTTAAATGAGGCTGGGTTAAATGTGCTGTTATTAGTAAAACTATAACTTTAATGTCTATTATGCTTGCCTCCATAGCCTCCTCTATTGTCATTAGATGGACCTCCTCTCCACTTAATGCTATCCTCGCTTTCTAGTTCTGGTAATTCTAAGCACTTTATCACTTCAAAGTCAATCGATGAATCTGTTTCTCTCAAATGTGCACTAATTTCCAAAAATCTCTCGCATTGATCTTCATAGATATCGAAAACAATACCCTCTTAATTTGCTTTGGCTCTCATTCCTTTAATATGATCAACCATTTATTATGGGAAAAATTTCTTAAAGATTTAAATTGAAGTATTCAAGGAATTAACCCATGAACCTTCTAAAGGTCTTAGCTCAAGAGTGATTTATTTCTCTTGGCCTGATAAAAGACTTCTACTTTAAAGAGCAGTTTTATAATGGCCTGAAATGTAAGCCAAAGCTTTGCAAAGCGCTTTTTCGGGATCTCCAGAGCATTAAGTAATAAATTGCTAAATAATTATTATTAGAAAGATATTTACCTTAGCAGCTTCTGTGAAAAAAGGAATAACATCACTATTTACTAATTCCAAATTCTTTAGAATTACTTTCGATGAAGCCTTTATAACATCTTCAGCTTGAGGGACGCCAATAATCTTGAATTTGATTCCTGCTTGATCCTCAATCTATTGTATCATTTGCTAAGTTTATTTAGTATAGAAAGTGATACATATACCCATCTTTCCAGCTCTTGCTGTTCTACCAGATCTATGAATGTAAGTTTCAACATCATTAGGAGGTTCAACCTAAATAACTAAGTCTACGTTTGGAATATCCAAGCCTCTAGATGCAACATCAGTAGCAACTAAAACATGAAATTTGCCTTCTCTAAATCTTTTCAGCGTTACTTCTCTTTGATTCTAAGCGATATCACCATGCATTACTTCAATATCTTGTTTTATCTTATCTGACAGTATAAGTGAATTAGCATCAGCTTTGGTTTATGTAAAAACAATAGACCTTCCTTCACCTCCATAGCATATCACTATCATAAAGATTAGGTTAAATAGTATTACAAAGATCTGCTAAAGCAGCTATTTTATTGTGAGGTGGACAGTTAATGGCTAAATGCTAAACTAATTTAGCTGTTTTATTCTTCAAATTTTAAGCCAAATCTACAAGACGATAGTTTGGCTTTAGATATTACTAGGCGACAGATTTCACCCATCTCGGAATGGTAGCTGAAAATAGACATTTTTGTACATCATTTTAACATTAAGAGTGAATTTTATTCATGATCTGATACATATTAAGTAAATTTACAATAATATCTTACCCATTCTATATCATCTTTGAATCCTAAGTCTAACATCATATCTGCCTCATCAAGGATAATTGACTTAATAGCTGAAAAATCGATGTTTCCTCTTTCAATATGATCTCTTACTCTACCAGTAGTACCTACAAAGATATCTACACCATATCTTAATTCTCTAGTTTGATCATCAATAGAGACTCCTCCGTATACTGTTAAAGTCCTGAACTCATTCTCAGAATGTTTCAAATAAGCAAATACATTTTGTACCTTTAAAATTTTAATTCAATTCAAAGTACCTGTAGTGCGAGTTCTCTTGTGGGAGCTAATACTATCGCCTAAATTTTTCGTTGTCCTAAGAACCTGTTTTTCCTAAGATATTCGATAAGTGGTATGCCAAAAGCAAGTGTTTTTCCTGATCCAGTAAGATCTCTTGCAATCAAGTCTTCTCTGTTATATATTGGATAGAAACTTTGCATCTAGATAGGGAATAAACTCGTGATTCCTTTAGATTTAAGCTTTTAGATTGTGGGGTTTGTAATTTCTGGGAAATTGATAAACTCTCCATCTTGGACATTATATTGAGGCAATTAAGAGTTCACTAATCTTTGTTTATTCAAGCTTGTCTCTTTCATAAAATCATTATTTGTCTATTGGGGCTATTGCTATTTGAACATAGATAATTCCCCTCTAGTCCCTTGATTTGGCTGAGATTATACTACCTCTTTCTGAATAACTGGAACATTTTGTGTTTGATTTGTAGTAGTGGTCACTACATTTTCATGAGCATTGTTATTGTCCGCTAATAAGAATTTAAAATGAATAAAATACCTGGGGCAGTTGAGGATTTCTTGCTATTGAAAAATGATGGTTTTCTTTAATGACCTCCTCCTGAAGTGTGGGAGGATGAAGTCTATTGAATGTCGTTCTACTATTGAATAATATGAATTTGTGAATTTTTACAGAATTGTTCATTGAATGCTTGATTAATTATTAATATTTAAAAATTATACTTTCTTGAGAATATAATTTACTATCAGAAATTTCATCTAATTAATCTTTATCAATTACAAGATTAAGTGCTCTTAATTAAATTACAAATTATTCAATCATCACCTCAAATTAAAGTGAAATATGTATTATATTCAGATCAGCCATCTTTGTGTTCATAAGTCTTAAAAGTTTCATCATTGACTTGAATCTATCCAGATCTCCTGCCCATTTTGTCATAGAGCTTCCATTTATTAACCATTTCTTGAGGAGGACTGTTTAACCATCTGAATTCCAAATCTAATTCTTCCCTGTACTCATGCAGTAAAAAGTTAACCTAAATTTCTTTTACTGTGACCAACAGCCATGATTCATCTCTACGACCAGACACTTGAAGCTGATTCACGATTTCTGGACACTTAAGCTCCTTAACTTTTTAAACTAGAAGCTTAGCATTGTTATAGATGTGCTTGATTGAGAATCCTGATGCGACTATTGCATAGTTTTCATGAGTATCTCTACCAGTTGCTTTGAGATTAACTACAGTAATATCCTTCATTTGATATGCCTCTAAGAATCTTATAATTTCTCTGATAGTTGGCAACTACCCAGGTCTAAAGTAATCATCTGATTCATCATTAACTTAGGTACCGAAACCCCAAAGAAAGTTCTTTTGAGGTCTTTTCACTAGTCTAGCTGAATAATCACCGAACTTAGCCTCCTCTTCCTTTTCTTTCTTTCTCTGCATTAGCTCTTCTCTGTGCAGAATGTAATACTCCTAAGAATACGTCATTTATTCACCTAGTCTATCATCTTTCTTATCTTCATCCTTATTTAACTGCATATCATCCTATATTTCAATACTCTTGGGAAGATGGTCATCTTATGTTTGCAATTATGTAGATTAAACTAAATTATCTCTCTTTTTGCCTTTGGAGGTTTTTGCCTCTTCAATTTGCTAATCTCTCATTTCTGTTCTATCCTTATTGCTTGCAGAAAATCTTTGCAATTACTAGTTCAAGCTAAACATGTTTTATTATTTATAGACTAGTCTTGCATTATTTTTAATATTTTAAGAACCCCTTTGCAAGATTAATCTTAATAGTTAGTTACTGGCTATCATTTTATCTTTATTATATTATTTATTTGCATTCTTCAAAATTAATGAGTATTATTCCTCAGGGGTTTTGGGGTTTTGGGGTTTTGGGG